TGCATCAATAAACCGTGAATGGTGCTTCTGCTGGCTGCGTCCGTCCACCTGTCCATCCGTCCGTGCATCTGTCTGTCTGTCTCTCTGTCTGTTTGTCCACGAAGTTTACAATCGAAGGACCGCCGTGTCGCAATTTTTCTTCTTACGTTCGCCAAGCACAAGTACCACCATCCAGTGGACATTCTAAAGACTAAACGAGAGCGGCTACCTACTATTACTACCTACATCTGGGATGCACAATCCGCTGCTTAAAGAGATTTGCCCCTAAATAGTGGGGAATGACTGCGATGCTAGTTACTCTCCTACAGGAAAGCATATTGCCATCCCCTAAGCTTGATTACTTGACGAGACCCTGCGCTTGCTGGCAGCTAAGTTATCGCAAGCGAGGGATCGTCTTTACAAAAAAAAAACGGCCGATCCAGCGTACAGTGGGAATCGGTAATATGCGAAGCACGAATGAGAATTGTTGATATGTCACTTTTAATCAGCACAACGTTATCGAACTGAAGTAAATGATGCCATACATGACCTCCGTGGCGTGATTATCATGTTTGGGTGTGTCGTTTACCTTCGTCATCTATTCATGTCTCGTGATTCCAAAATTAGCATATGTGAAGCTAGCAAAACAGCCGTTAGCACGTTATGAGCGTGGTATGATGTCATGTTACATGACACCCGTGTCAGGATTATAATGTTTCCACCAGTCATATATTTCGTCAGCCATCGACGTCATATAACGCCAAATTCGGTATATGATGGCCTAGCAAACCGGACGCGAGAGCATCATGAAAGGCCCAATATACTCCTATGTAACGTTGACGCGTGCTCACGCTGGGCACAGTGACGCTACGTTATTGAAACCTGAGCCTTTCATGGTCTGACGCCAGGCGCGGCCAGCGTCCGTCAGCGCGGCCTGACGGCAACCGGCGCGAAATGCGACTTCCAGCCTTTCACGCCGATGCGTTACCCAGACAACTCTACGTCTGCCTCTTTTCGTGACGGAGGGACGCCGAACGCGCTGAAACGTGCATGAGCCAAGTAGTACTAGCAGTAAACAATAAAAAACAGAGGTTGCCAGGGAAACTAGCCTCTAGTGGGTCAGCCTCCCTGCAGTACTAGGGCACCCATTAGTCGTGTCCGCTGTCCTGGCACGCTGGACCATAGCTCGTTGGGCCGCAAGGTCCTAGCAACCAAACAGGGCCGCCTCCCAGTCCTCTCTTATTGGATATGGGTTCGGGGGTAAATAAGGGTATAGCTGGTATGCCCAATTCATGTGGTAGGTGTCAGCCACCTCCACACAGTACTGGCAGAGGCGGGAAAACGAAGAGTCAAAGTGTCTAAGGACTGCCGGGCACAGTAAAGTATTGGTAAATAGCCGGAGAAGAATTGTCTCGTCCGCCTTCCTGAGTCTTTTGCGCGGCGGAGGAAAATGGTGGTGGGAGTCCTCGTAATGGGTAATTATCTCTTTACAAGTTAGGATAGGAACGTTCTGTTCTGGAACACAGGGCTCATCGGTGGGCGACGCAGTGGCCCGGGGAATGAGTGCGCGGGCAGTAGCGTGCGCCGCCTCATTGCCTGCGAAGCCCTGATGGCCGAAGTCCAGATTATTGAACGCGGAGAGGGGTAACCTACTCGTGGACAAGATTTAGGAAGTTTGTAGCTATGGGTGTGATCCATCCGAGTTGAAAATTTCAGCAAGCCCTTTTGGAGTCTAATATTATATTTGGAAGCTGTCGTGTGATAAGCCACAGCTATAATCACCTCTTCAGCATGGATGGCATTGGTTGCGCGGGAGGACAGACCATCCACCTGCCTGTCTTGGTGAACCACGGCGGTCGTATACCAACCACCGCTGTAAGTGCCGGCGATGTCCGTTTTTAAATACGTTTTCTTTAGAGCCAAATTGGCACCGGAGAGCAAGAGTCTGCGCTTCTCGACTACCAGCGTTAGACTCACGTGACATATTGGTGGGGAGGGGTTGAACATGAATCGCATATTTCCAATGTTCCGGCACTCATACCCACTCCTCTTTGTGAAATTCATGCGGAATCTGTAGGCGATGTAGGAGTCGTCTCCCTGACGAGGTGCGTGTTGTAATTTGTAAGCTGAGCCTCCCGAAGCTCATGACAGGTGTTTACCACTCCAAAGGCAATAAGTTTGTATTAGAAGTAGTGATAGAGAGATCTAGAGCCCTTTTGACAATTTCGCGAAGGGTGACCTCCAAGAAATCTTCATCATGCTTTCCTAAGTGCAGGCACGGAGTCGCATACAAGACGCGACACTGACAAAAGCATGTGCAAGACGAAGTGCATCCTTGCTTTAGAGACTTCCCCGCTTGTCGGAGACTCCTCAGACGATGCGGTTCACCTGTTCTCTAAACTTACGCAGCTTGTGAAGTGTTGTCTCGACCCTGTGGTGTTTGTTAATGTGGAGTCCAAGGACACGGATCTCCTGTGCTTCAATAATGGGTACACTATGCAGAAAAAGGTTAATGAATGATGTGCACTTCACCGACGGCAAAAGGTCCACGAATTCAGACTTCTGTGGGGAACATTTAAGGCCGCATTATGCCGCATATTCGTCTACTATATGAGCAGTGATTTTCAGGCTGTCTTCCTTGCTGCCCAGGCATCCCTCTGTGGCTCACAGAGTGATGTCGTCGGCATAAAGCGCTTGTTTCATCCCGTCGACAGCAGCCAAACGGGCCGGGAGCGGCGCCTTAGCTAGGTTGAACATTAGAGTTTACAACACAGCGACCTGTCATGTGCCTCGCGTGCCCAGGGAATAGAGGCTGTATTCCTGATCTTGGATGCGAATGTACGCAGCTCTGTCAGTAAAAAAGTTTTGGATATAGTTGAAGGTGCGCTCACCGCAGTTGGTGGCACTTAAGTGAGCTAAAATGACTTCGTGCTTTACGTTATAGAAGGCTCCCTTAAGGTCAAGCGTTAAAAATGATCTTGTCATTGTAGGGGTGATCTAGAGGATTGAGTGCTTCGTGTAGTTGTAGGAGTATGTCTTGCGAAGATTTCATGGGCCTGAAGCCATACATAGAATCGTCGAAAATGTGGCGCTCTCCCGAGAAGGGAGAGACACGATCCCTGACCATAGAATCTGCGAAAATGTGGCGCTCTTCCGAGAAGGGACCGACACGATCCGTGACCATAATTTCCATTAAATTCCCCGCACAAGAAGGAAGAGAAATGGGTCTGAGATTTTCCGTGTTGATCTGTTTTTCTGGCTTTGGAATAAACGTTACTAGAGACGTTTCCAGTCTAGTGGGAGAGGTGGTTTTCCAAACCAGATCGCAATAATATAGTCGAGAAGCGACTGGTGCTCTGCATCGGTTTGATTTGCCCGTTTGTAATGGTAATTTTGTCTCGGCCGGAAGCCGTATGTCCCCTCATTTTCGCTAGAGCGGCGCAAAGGTCGCGTATCTTGAAAGGAGCATCCAGTGCCGAGTTTCGCCTGCCTGCATTGCGTTACGTGGAGCGTCGCGTGTTCTGTTGGGTGCAAAGATATCGGTCCCGTAGTGAGAGGGCTAGTTGTGTTGTGGAGCCGTCGCAATTGTGAAAAGCTCAGTGCATTTGTTTTTGCGTTTCGCCTCGCGTTTGAGTGAACCAACCAGACTGCGGAAGAGTTTCCATGTATTGTGATAAGACATTTGCTTGCTGGCAGTGTTACAGCGATCTACCCAATTTGAGTCCGCGAGCTGGGCTGCGTACTCGGCCAACTTCTGAGTGAGTTCCAGTATCCGCATGAGGAGTTTGCGGTTATGCTTTTGTCGGCGCCATCTCTTTGTGAGGCTGCCACGGGCCTCCCAAATATGTAGGAGATGGTTATCTACATCTAGATGACTATCCGTGAGATGTATTTAGGTCTTGTGTTTTCTTAGTGTTCCCCCTTAGCAGCCATTGACATGTACCACGTGAAAAGTATCCGCAAACGGATGGGCACAGTGTGGGCATTCCCCGGAGAAGGCTGAATTGAAGTGTATAAGTATAGCCGGACACAATGTGTTGGCATAAAGGCGCAAGAGCCAGCGCTCGTCAGACTTAGTCAGGCCTGGCACTGGGGGCGGAAATCGGAGCCTGTTCGATTTGTACATCGCTGTAATTTCGCGAAAGGAGGTTACTGGATTAGGTTCTGGATCATCGGGCGATAAAGGGCGAGGCGGGTCCCGGAAATCAATCGCGCGGGCCGAGGCATCGGCAGCCTCTTTACCATCTAGTTTTGCGTGAGCTGGAGTCCAGATGACGAAACGTGTTTTCGGGCCGTCCAGGTAATCACAGCGCTTAAGTATTCGAGCAGCGCGAACGGTGATACGCAAGATTCTGACACGCGCTCCACGAATCGGTAATAATAAACCGAGATGCAGGATCCGCTGCCGCGAGAGCTATGACGACTTCCTCTGCATGAGTGATGTCCGTGGCACGAGATGTGAGCCCTTGGACAGGTACGGTTTGATGGACTACGGCCGCCGTGTACCACCCCCCATGGTGAGGGCTGGACGCGTCCGTATAGAAGACTCCAAGATGGGATTCATAGCGTCCCTTCAAAGCTGTAACCCGCGCAGTTCGCCTGCCTTCGCGAGTCCCCCTAGCCATGTTTTGGGGCAGAGGCTAGATAACCAACGCTCCACGCCAGTCCACTGGGATCGTTGTCCACTCCTCTGCATTGTAGGTGTAAAAGAAGTGGAGGCGGCGTAACAAACATCTCCCAGCGCGCAACTTGGTAAGCCACAGGTACTGGTTGTTGAGATGGGCCTGTTTGAGTTCCCCATACGTGTTGGTCATGCCCAGCTCTGCAAGACGTTGGTTAGACGTCGTGATCGGGAGGTCTAGGGCGCGCTTGTATATTTTTCGGAGAATGCTGTCTAGCGTGTTCTCATCGCATTTGCGCAAACGTAGGTAGGGTGTTGAATAAATAATTCGACTGGTCACAACAGCGTTGGCGAGGCTTAGAGCATCACGGCATCTGAGACCCCCTCACTTGTTCGAGACTCAGCGGACCATGCGGCTCACCTGATCCCCGACCGTAGGTAATTTGCGCAGGGTGGTATCGACTTTCCAGCTCTTGTGTATGAAGAGCCCTAAGACGCGGATTTCTTCGCGTTTCGGGATAGGTCCGGTGCGCAGGGAAAGTACGATTTTAGTCGTGTGTTTTAGTTTAGGGCGAATATACACATACTCTGATTTCGTGGGGGAGCATTCAAGGCCGCAGCGATGGGCGTAGTCATCCACGACCGATGCTGCTTGCTGCAGGCTGGCCTCGATGCTGCCAACAGAACCGTGTGTGGCCCACAGCGTGATATCGTCGGCATACAGAGCGTGCCGTACACCGGGGATATCTTTCAGCAGTGGAGGGAGATGAGCCATGGCTAGATTGAACAGAAGGGGAGAGATCACTGCTCCCTGTGGTGTTCCTCGAGTACCTAGAAGATACGGACCATGCTCCTTGTCTTGAATGCAGAGGTACGTCTGCCGTTCCATCAAGAACTGACGGATGTACCTGAAAGCGTTACGCCCACAGTCTGTATGGGACAGAAGGGTAAGAATTATTTCCTGAGTAACGTTATCAAAAGCTTCCTTGAGATCCAAGGCGAGGACTACCTTGTCGTCACTGGGATGCTCTACCGGTTCAATAACGTGACGGCGCAGTTGCAGGAGAATGTCCTGAGCAGAGCGATGTGGACGGAAGCCGTACATAGGGTAGGCAAAGGTTCGACGAGCCTCGAGGTAATCAGAAAGCCTATCCCTGACCATTGTTTCCATAAGCTTCCCCTAACACCAGGTTAAGGAAATGGGTCGGAGATTGTCGGTATTTATTGACTTGCCCGGTTTGGAGATAGAAGTTACCAGGGCTGTTTTCCAATATATCGGGAGCGGTTCGCACCCCTCCCAAATTCACTTGAAGTAGTCGAGGAGGTGAAGATATGCCAGGTCTGGGAGGTTGGCTAAATGCTTGACCGTCACTCGATCCCGACCCGGCGCTGTTTCTCGCTTCAATTTGGACAGGGCCGCCTTCAGATCGTGGAGTTGAAAGCAACGATCCAAGTCTGCGTTGCCTGATCTTGCATAAGAGTATGCTGTATCAAGGGGTTTATTGAATAAAACCAACTGTCTGGTTCAAGAGGCGCCAGTCACTGTCACGAGCTCAGCTCTTTGTCGTAGTCGTCTTTCAGGTGCTCCAACCAGATACTGTCTCTCTCCCTCTTCGCCACTACATTTGCCCCGGTGGTGTAGAGTAGCCGTCCTGGCGACTCACGGTGAAGCAAGCACAAGGGGATCATAGTAAGGTTTCAAGCGGCTGATGTGGACTCTCTCACGACCACGGCATCGTCTATCCTCGGCAGGTGTCACTGGTTCGACGACGTAGTTGACCGGTGACGTGCATTAAACGATGCGGTACGGGCTATTGTACTTGGGTGCAAACTTTCGGGAGAGGCCGGGGGACTGGAATGAAACCGAAAGCCATACAAATGCGCCTACGGGGAAGCTGTGAGCAGGCTTGTCTTAGTCAAGGTGGTCTTTTTGGAGACTTTGTGCGACGGACGTAAATGAACGCGCTAATTGGCGGCACTCTTCGGCACGCTGAACACGTTCGGAGGCTGGGCGGTATTCTGAAGCATCTGGGCGGTAAGTAAGTATCTTGTCAAGTGTAGAAGAGGGCTCACATCCGTACAGTAGAAAAAAAAGGTTAAAACCCAGTAGTTGCTTGCGTGGCCGTATTATACGCATACGTTACGAAAGGGATCACCAAGTCCCAATTAGAATGGTCGGAGGATATGTACATAGAAAGCATATCACCGAGCGTGCGGTTAAAGTGCTCAGTCAAACCGTTTGTCTGTGGGTGATAGCTTGTAGTGGTGCGATGAATAATATTGCACTCACTGAGAAGCTCCCGGATGACTTGCGATAGAAATGCACGCCCACGGTCGCTGAGCAGCTCACGTAGCGCGCCATGGCGAAGGACAAAGCTGCGCAAGATGAACAAGGTGACATCACGAGCATCAGTGGCTGGCAAAGCGGCGGTTTCAGCGTAACGGGTTAGGTGGTCAACGGCCACAATAATCCAGCGATTTCTCGCAGGAGTACAAGGTAGTGGGCCGTAGAGGTCGATGCCGATTCTATCAAACGGCCAAGCTGGACACGGCAATGATTGTAATTCGCCAGAGGCATGACAAGTTGTTTTCGTCGCTCACACTCAGTGCAGGAGCATATGTACTTGCGAACGTACGAGTACAATCCACGCCAGAAAAACTGCTGACGAAATCGGTCGTATGTTTTCAAAACGCCCGCGGGCGCTTTTTGAGGGTCTGCATAAAAGTACGCACACATGTTGGAGCGCAGATGGCGAGGTATAACAAGGAGCCATTTTCTACCATCCGGCTTATAGTTGCGACGGTGAAACATGGCATGGTCGAAGACTTGCGAAAAGAAGGCCTTGAATGAATTCCAGCTGGCAATGTTGGCTTCGTGATTGCGCAACCAGAGACTAGCGACGCCGGACAAGTAAAAGCTTACATAGTTCAGCTTAGCCGCATCGTCCCACTTGTTCGCTGCGCTCACCTTGTGGTAAGTAGCCAGCCACTCCTCAACGACTTGGCCGTCAGTGCCGCTCAAGGTCGGTGGGCGACGCAGTGGCCACAGAGATATTTATCCCTAAGAGCCTGTGCCAATTTATCCGCGTCACCCACGTAGGCGTGGAGCCCGCGTTGTTGCTTTGGCGTTTCTGTGCGGGTTTGGGTGGGGTGGATGAGGGCCCCAAAAAAGCACCACGTGTGGTGGTTTGACATATGCTTAGCAGCATTGTTACAGCGCACTACTCAATTGGAGTCAGCGAGCTGGGCCACGTACTCGGCTGCTTCTTGGGTGAGGGCTGCGATGCAGATTTTGAGCTGACGATTATGGTTCTGTCGGCGCCATCGGCGCACGGGGCTATGCCGAGCGTCCCAGAGACGGAGGAGATGGTTATCTACCGTCGGCGTGGCCTCTGAGCGCTTAATCGTCTGCTCAGTTTGGCGAAGCGACGTCACAAGGTGCTGAGCCCAAGTGGCGTAGCCTTGTTGAGCTATGGAAGCTAGAGTCGTGTACTCTGAACGGAACTTCGTCTAGTCTGGAAGTTTCGCGTGTTAGTGGGGACGGGTAAGGGGATACGTCCGAATGGTAGTGAGGAGAATACAGTGGTCACTGCCGAGAGTTTCCTCAGTGTTGAGCCAGTCTGCATGCCTGATATGCTTGGTAAGTGTAAGGTCAGGGCATGCGTCTCTACTTACAGAGTTACCAATGCGGATTGGGCGTGCTGGGTCGGTTTGGATGGTGAGGCCCAGGATAGAAATACGCTCTGTCAACTTTATACCACGCCGTTCTTCTTCATGGTAACCCCAGTAAGGACTAGGGGCGTTAAAGTCACTTACAATAAATGACTAGCGGTTCCCTGCCAGCCACTGCAAGGGCTTTGCTAAAAACATCATTATAAGCTAGGTTACGAAGTCTGGGTGAACTGTAGATGTTGAAGATGTGTAGGGACGCATTCTGTTTCCTAAGCGGGAGGATAGTCACCATAACATACGAGTAAAGTGGATCGCAGTCGAGATCTACCTGGTTGGCGGTGTAATTTCGATGCACGTAGAGGGCGGTTTGCGCATCCCTTTGATACACGGTATAATTTGTGAGGGCAGCGTGCTCGCCCGGCTCCTGAAGGGCCACTACCACAGGCAAATGTGTATAGGTTTCCAAATGGGGCGGGAGAGCAGCTCGCTTAGTGCGTACCTTAAATCCCCGGCAATTCCACTGTAGGATTGTAAAAAGATCTGAATTAGCGCGGCCGCGGCGCGATCTAGGGCCGTTGCTCGCCATCGTTGGATCGTACTGTAGGGGGCCTCCGCGAGAGCAAAGGGGCTCAGTGGGGCTCCACTGCTCGATCCAGGGCTCACTTTAGAGGTCGCAGTTGAACTGTTACACTGCTCGTCTACCGCAGCCACATGGAAAAGGGGCCAGGATGCTTGAGAGTTAGACACCCGCTTAAGCTTAGACTGGAGGGTGTTAAGAGCAAGTTGGCGCAACTGGGCAGCTGTGATGCCCGGGATGCGGTCGAAAACGGTTTGAAAGGTGGCAGTCAATCTATCCTCAATGGTAGTCACTATGGACGCCATCTGGGCCTCTAAGCTGCTAAGACGTGCCTCTATTGATGCGAGGAGCACCGCGTTGTTCCCATGTTGAAAGGGGGCACTATCCATCGCCTCCAGTACCTGCCCGGAGGGTGTCGGAGTAGGCAAGGATGAGCCCTTCGCAAGCGCCTCCACTGCCTGCGTTAACGAGGCAATCTATCTGGGCCTGTAACTCACGGAATTCCATTTGTTCCCAGGTGGGAGCGGAAAGGGCTTGTGGTTGGGGTTGGGGGATCATGGAGGGTAGGAACGGGGAGGCTGCCCCACCCGAGTCGCTCACTTGGGGTCCCTGCTGAACGCGGGTGGCCCACGATGAATGCCCCTGGCCAGCAGATTTGTGTCCTGGTGATGGCGGGTTCGGTTTGGGCGGGTCGGGCGAACCCTGGCCCGCAGTAGGCCCCTTGGCTTGAGATCCGTCCGGAGTTGGGCCACGCTGGGAAGGCCCGAGAGCAGCCACGCAAGGGTGCTGGGACACAACAGGGTAGGTGGTAGAGGGCTGAGCCCCTTGTGGCGGTGCCCGAAAGCCCGGCTTCCGTGGCTTCCGTGAGCGCCAACGTTTTCTCTTTTCGGGAGCCGGCTTGACCTCCCGGTGAAGCATTGTGCGGCTTGGGTGGCAGCGCCTTGTAGCGTTCTTTACAGCACCGGTTCCTAGTGTGGTGGGGTACAGCACACAGAGCACACCTGGGCGTGCATTTGTGAGGAGCGCGGGCGCCATCCGTGAGTGGCACCGCGTTTCCGCAGATGCCGCAAACGTCTGGTTTAGGGCCGGCACAGGCGTTGGGTCGATGCCCAACGGAGCCGCACCGACTGCAGGCTGGTACAGTTTTCTTGTAAGACTGCACCGGTATAAGCAGGGCGTCATAGGAGACGTACCGGGGCTTCACCTTGCCGGAAAAGGTGAGACGCACCTTATTAGAGATGCCCAGTCGCCGGACGTGGAGGATCTCGCCATCTGGGCAGTAAAGGCTTTCACGAAGAGCGGCTTCGGAGTCGGAGCTGCGCCCCGTCACTACTCATAACATGTGTCTTGAGTGTCCGCACACAGGTACCCCAACAAGGGCACTGGTCCGACAGGTGAGGGAACCGCAAACTCACCGATAAGTTTGTCCGCTAAATGTGGGTTCGAGGTGAACACCAAGAAGATATTTTACTCCCGCACCATCACAACGGTGACCAGCTGCTTCGCGGTCACTCAGAGGTGGGCGATGAGCGCGCTACCAGCCCCGTTTTTGAGGAAAACGGCTGCGAGGGACCGCCGGGTCCTGGGATTGAGCACAACGATGTCCGTTGCTTTCGGCTTCGGCAAGGGTTAAGGCTACCACACAGGCCTCTTGTGTCCCCGCTGCAGGCTCGCGGAGCGTGTCGCAGGCGGTGAAACTGTTGAGGAGCAGGCACCAGCATCAGCGTCGGTAGCTGCGGCCAGGGACGCCGCGTTTGCGGAGGCCACCATGTGTGCATTGCTCGCCTGCTCTCGGCGAGCGACCGCGGCACCAAGCGCACTGCTCTTGAAGGGTTGGGAGAGGTCCGGTCGGCTGTCCGAAGACGGGACGGTGGTCGACATCATGCTGTCAAAATCATATTCAGTTTGGGTGT